GACCATCTAAAGAATAGATTTGATGCATTGAACACCAGTGACCAAAAAGCAGAAGAATTGTGGGATGACATCAAGAACATCATCCATGAAGAAAGCAAGAGGTCATTAAAAAGACAGGAAAGGAAGAAAAGACCAAAATGGATATCAGAAGAGACTCTGAAACTTGCCTTTGAATGGAAAGTACTTAAAGCAAATGGAAGAAATGACCAGATAAAAGAGCTGAAAAGATTTCAAGAGCAGCTTGAGAAGATAAACTCAATTATCATAATGAAATGTGCAAAGACCTGGAATTAGAAAACCAAAAGGGAAGAACACACTCGGCATTTCTCAAGCTGAAAGAACTGAAGAGGAAATTTAAGCCTCAGATTGCAATAGTGAAAGATCCTATAGGTAATATATTGAATGATGCAGGAAACATCAAAATAAGATGGAAGGAATACACAGAGAACTGGACGATGTTCATCCATTTCAGGAGGTGGCATGTGATCAAGAACGAATGGTATTGAAGGAAGAAGTCGAAGCTGCACTGAAGGCATTGGCAAAATATAAGGCTCCAGGAATTGACAGAATACCCACTGAGATGTTTCAACACACAGATGCTGCACTGCAGACACTCACTCGGCTATGCCAGATTTGGAAGACAGCTACCTGGCCAACTGACTGGAAGTCATCCATATTTGTACCCATTCCAAAGAAAGGTGATCCCAAAGAATGTGGAAATTACTGGGCAACATCATTAATATCATATGCAAGTAAAATCTTACTGAAGATAATTCCAAAAACAGTTGCAGCAGTATATTGATAGAGAACTTCCAGAAATGCAAGCTGGATTCAGAAGAGGATGGGGAACAAGGGATATCATTGCTGATGTCAGATGGATCTTGGCTGAAAGCAAATACCGGAACGATGTTTACTTGTGTTTTATTGACTATGCAAAAGCATTCGTTTATGTGGACCATAACAAATTATGGATAATATTGAGAAGAATGGGAATTCCAGAACACTTTAATTGTACTCATGAGGAACCTGTACATAGGCCAAGAGGCTGCCATTTGAACAGAACGAGGGGATACTGTATGGTTTAAAATCAGGAAGGGAGTGTGCCAAGGTTGTATCCTTTCAACATACTTATTCAATCTGTATGCTGAGCAAATAATCCAAAAAGCTGGACTGTATGAAGAACATGGCATCAAGATTGGAGGAAAACTCATTAACAATCTGCATTACACAGACAACACAATTTTGCTTGCTGATAATGAGGATGACTAGAAGCACTTACTGATGAAGATTAAAGACTTCAGTCTCCAGTATGGACTACAACTCAACATAAAGAAAACAAAAATCCTCACAACTGAACCAATAAGCAGCATCATGATAAATGGAGAAAAGATTGAAGTTGTCAAAGCCTTCATATTTCTTGGTTCTATAACCAGCATCAATGGAAGCAGCAGTCAGGACATCAGATGACATGGTGCATTGGGCAAATCTGCTGCAAAAGACTTCTTTCAACTGTTGAAGAGCAAAGATGTCTCCTTGAAGACTAAGATGCAGCTTACCCAAGCTGTGGTATTTTCAATCACTTCATATGCATGTGAGAGCTGGACAATGAATAAGGAAGACCATAGACTAGTTGATGCATTTGAGTTGTGGTGTTGGAGAAGAATACTGAGAACAATGGACTGCTAGAAGAACTAACAAATCTGTCTTGGAAGAAGTGCAGCTGGAGTCCTCCTTAGAAGCAAGAATGGCCAGACTCCATCTAACTGTGGTCATGTTGTCAGAAGGAACCATTCCATGGAGAAGGATATCATGCTTGGTAAAGTGGAGGGTCAATGAAAAAAAAGGAAGGGACTCAATGAGATGGATTGACACAGTGGCTACAACGATGGGCTCAGATATAGCAAGGATAGTGAGGCTGGCACAGGACCAGGCAGTGTTTGGTTCTGTTGGACATTGGGTCACTATGCCAACTCGATGTCACCTAACAACAACAATCAGGGCTCTCATCATGTCTTCTGTCACTCTAAATAAGAATCTTGATACGTTGCAATGCAGAACACTGTAAGGTACGGGAGAATACAAATAATAAAATCGTTCTTCAACCTTTATAATCCACAATTAACTTATTGTATATAGCAGTTTGCATGGTAAGCACTGAACAAAACCTACAGGTAGTATTATAGTTTAGTAAAAATACTTTGGATTAGGATTGTTTCACAGGATTGGGCTTTTCCATTGTTAATTTGATGGTTTAGGGGCTAGGGAGTAGTAGCTGGGATTCCAAGCAGAAAGATACAACTTGATGAAAGATATATATGTGGAAATAGGTTGAAAATTCAAACAGCATTTAAAAACCAAACAAAAAAACGAGTCGATTCCAACTCATAGAGACCCCCTTTGTGTTTCCAAGGCAGTAAATCTTTATGGAAGTAGACTGTCCAGTCTTCTTTTTGAGGAGTGGCTGGTGGGTTTGAACCATCAGCCTTCTGGTTAACAGCACTAAGCCACCAGAGCTCCAAGTAGCATTTAGATAACAGTAAACACCTATAAAAGAAGGCAGAAGAGTTAGAATAGAGGAAAACCTAACAATGACAGGAAGACTGTGTTTTGAGTTTGCAGAGTTTGTATAGTAAAAAGTACTAAACTAGTATCAGAATCTTGTAACAGTCTCTGTCAATTACTAGCTATGTGACATTGGGAAAATATCCTTGATGACCCTTAGGAAAACACTAGTGTACTTTACAGGGTTATCGCCTTTGATTCTTACATGGAAATGCTATAAAATAAGATAAAAGTGGAGCAAAGATCATGATACACAGAAACAAGACCATGATATAACTAATTATTGGGCCTCCATAAGCTCTAGTAGCTCTGGTGGCATAGTGCCAAAGGCATTGGACTGCTAACCAGAACCAATCGACTTCTGTAGAGATACCACCTGGAAACCCAAGGAGGGGTTGCTATGAGTCGGAACCAACTCTACAGCAGTGAGTTGTTTTGTTTTGTTTTGTTTTCTAAGCTCCTTAGAAGTCAGCATAGGGAGACTTCGTCTCACGTACTTAGGACACGTGATCAGGAGGGAACAGTCCTTGAAGGACACCATGCTTGGAAAAGTAGAGGGTCAGTGAGAAAGACGCAGACCTGTAAAACGATGGATTAACACAGTGGCTGCAACAATGAGTTCAAGCATAGCAATGGTTGTGAGGATGGTGCAGGACCAGGTGGTACATAAGTCGCTATGAGTCAGAATTGCCTTCTGCGGCATCTGACAGCGACATATGCAATTCTCAAATGGTTAAGCAATCAGCAACTTACTGACCAAGGGGTTGGTGGTCTGAATCCACTCAGAGACATCTCAGAAGAAAGATCCGGCAATCTACTTCCAACAGATCCCAGCCATTGAAAAGACTGTGAGTGCAAGGAATGGAATCCACAGTGACTGGTTATACACTTTTCCAGGTAATACAGCTCCTGGCAGTGTTTAAACTGATAATTTATACACATTTCCTCACTCTCAGCCCAATGCTCTTTATACTAAGTCATCAGGGAAAAAAAAGAGGTCAAAATTCTCAGTATGATACCTTACAGCCTTAATGCACCTAGGCCAGCTTTCTCTTGTTGGTTATAAGGAGGGTCAAAAGATAGAATATGTGCTACTTTACTACTGTGTCCAAGGCTGAGGAGAGGATTTCTGGAAGGTAATTTACTCTTGTTATTTTGTCCATTCAGGAAAACTGTAATAGGTAAGGTGACTAGGGCAGACTGAAATTCTCATAATTAGAGTGTAATTTGGCACTTGTTTTAGGGGATAGCAACTGGAAATGTGTATTAAAATCAAACCAAACTCACTGCTATTGGGTTGATTCTGACTCATAGTGATTTCCATGGGGTTTCCAAGGCTGTAAATCTTTACAGAAACAGACTACCTCATCTTTCTCCTGCAGAGCAGCTAGTTGGTTCAAACTGCAGACTTTGGGTGGTTAGCAGCCAAATGGCTTAACCACTGCACCATCCGCGCTCCATGGAAATGTATATTAACAGCCATAAAAGAGTTCACCTGCTGATCCAGAATTCCACTTCTGGGAATTCAGCATTAGAATATAAGGAACAATCCAAATTATGTTCATGATTATATTTATTACAGCATTGTCTGTAACAATGAAAAATTAGAAATGCTTCAAACATCCAATTAAAGGAAAATGGTTCAAGTGTTGCATCCAGTTGCTGGAAAATAAAGCAGCCATTATACATGACAGTTAGGAAGACCACATAAAACCCTTATGATACGAAGATAAATTTAAACATATAAAGTATATATGCACTGTAATCTTTATTATATAACAAACTACACACAGAAAAAAAAAATCAGAAGGAAATAACACCAAATGGCCAGTAACAGCTGAGTCAGAGTAGTAGGATTATGAAAATTTTTTTCCAATATTTTCTGAAATTTCCAATAATAATAGTAATGAAACCAAACTCAGTGCCATCAAGTCGATTCTGACTCATAGCGAGCCCCTTTGGGTTTCCGAGGCAGTAAATCTTTACAGAAGTAGATTGCTCAGAGTTCTTCCTGCATACACTGAACTTTACAAGCTTCTGTAAGGATTATGAAATCCTCTTCACCATGAAAGCAGAAAGATACTGCTAAGTTACTAAAAAACAAATAAATAATATTCTGAAGAACATAATTGGAGTGGACAAGATTTGGTCCAAAAGCAGAGGTAAGAGGACTGAAGGGTTGACAAAGAGAGACTTCTGTCTCATATATATATGTATGTATAATCAGAAGTCTCATACACAGAAGCACCTACCTTAAGGAGGGGCTCTTTACTAACTCATTCTTCCTTCACTGCAATAGTTTATCAAAGTACGTGTCAAGTGACTCAAGTCAGACTGAATCTGTCTTGTGTGAGATCCTCAAGGAAATATGATCCCAAATGCTAAAGAGTGTAGTTTCTGGACAACAGACAACAAATAAAACATCATGCAGAAGCTTGTCAAAATAGTGGGACTTTATGTCTGTGGATTCTTTGGTGTCTGATAAGGTGTGAACTTTGTCTAAAGCTTTTCCCACATTCAGCACATTTATAAGGTTTCTCCCCACTGTGAATTCTCTGGTGTTTAATGAGGGTTGCACTCTGACGGAAGCTTTTGCCACAGACAGAACATCCGTAAGGCTTCTCTCCAGTGTGGATCCTCTGATGTTTAACAAGGTCACAGCGTTGTTTGAAGCTCTTCTCACATTCTTCACATTTATAGGGTCTGTCACCTTTATGTATTCTCAGATGTCTAAAAACGTTGGAAATATGGCAGGTTTCCCCACATTCATTACATTTATAGTACTTCTCTCCTGTAGGGATTCTTTGATGCCAGTTTAGATGTAAGCTCTGTCTGAAGCTTTCCCCACATTTGGGATACGTATATGGCTTTTCACCTGTATGAGTCCTCTGGTGTTTGACAAGGGCAGCACTCTGACTGAAGCTTTTCCCACATTCTTGGCATCCATATGGTTTCTCACCAGTGTGTATTCTCTGGTGTTTAAAGAGGTCAGAATGCTGTTTGAAACTCTTCTCACAGTCACCACATTTATAAGGTCTTTCTTGATGGATCTGCCTCTGGATCCCCAAAAGACCAGAGCTATGAATATTTTCCTCACTGTCAATAGATAGGTGAGGTGTCACCACTTGATGTCGTACCATATCTAAATTCTGTTTGCAATTATTTCCACGTCCGTCACTGTGAACGAGCCTGTCTACTATCTGAACATGCTGATGAAAAACAAAGTTTGACCTTTTGGCACTGCTCCCAAATTCACTATTTTTTAAGTCTCCCTCTTCTGTGGAATTGTTCTTGTTGAGAACTGGGAAGCTAGTGACTCCTTGTTCTTCAGGAGAATTTTCAAGTTTCAACACTGCAGTGTTTCTTGACTGCTCTTCTACTGTGTCTGTGTGAGTATCACCACACTCAAAGAACAAGGGAGCCTTTCTCTGAGACCCTTCCTGCACTTGCCCCTGTGCCTCTGCTGCTTCTAAAATTTCTTGCTTTGGAATCAACTCTTTGTTCTCAGTTCTGGTTTCCAAACCTGAAACAATAAAACAAACATTACATACATCTCATCCCTTTGCAAAAATGAAATAAACAACTGATAGTAGAAAAATAACAACAAATCTTTTTTACTGTCTTCCATTCAACCACTCCTGAAGTTAACATTATTTTAATTAACTTGTCCTATTTGCTAACATCTACCAATGAAAATTCCCTTTCTTTCCTTTTATATTTATACTTCTATCTACAAACCCTTCTCGGAAGAAAGGTTGGGCAATCTATTTCTGTAGTGATACTGCCTCGGAAACCCAAGGAGAGGTCGTTATGAGTTGGGTCAGACTCGACAGCACATAACAACAACAACATTTACAAACCAACCTCTTCTCCCTTCCCCCACAGTGCTGTTTTAAAAGTAACTACAGTATAAGAGGTAAATTTGTAAGGGGTGTCAAGAAAGGCAGCATAGCATAGAACTTTTGAAAGAATAAGCTCTGTAATATGAAGGCCTAGTTGTGGGACTTTTGGAAATGTATAGGGATAGGGTTAACTTCCAGATAATTTGTGGTAACTCCATGACAGAGTTTCTTAATCTTGGCACTGCTAACATTTTTGAGGTTAAATAATTCTTTGTTTTGGAGGGCTATTCTGTGCACTGTAGGGTATTTACCAGCATCCTTGGTCTCTATTCACTGAGCTGCCAACAGCATTCCACCAATTATGACAACCAAAACTGTCTCCAGATGTTGCCAAATATTTCTTCTTTCTTTTTTTTTTTTTTTATGATGCTGCTTATTGGTCTAATTGTGAGGCTTTTTTTAAAAAAAAATTTATTTTGATTTGGGTGAAGATTTACAGAGTAAATTCACTTTTCATACAGCAGTTCACATATACTTTGTCTCATGTCATTGACC